TACAGTACAATGAGGGAAAACAATAAGGAAACTGCTAGTAAGCTCTGAGACAATAAGCAGTGGTCTCTTGATAGAAGTGTCAGTTGAACCAGGGAAGAAAAATAAAAAATAAAGAATATTCTAGATACAGTACTTCTCCATACGAGAAACTGTCCATCACCTAAGGACACTGAGGAAACTGAAGTCTCATGGATTGGGTGAGGTTACATGAAGGCACACTGAGGGCATTCCCAGCAAAGCAATTACATTACGGTAACATCATACAATCCATGCTTTGACTACTAGTCCTCTACTGTACAATTAAAGCAGAACTACACTGTATCTGAGCACCACAAATAAAAAATGCTATTTGATTTGTAATATTCAAAGCAAACTCCCCCATCCATCTATGTCCCTATGTTTTAGTTTGCTGAGAAATCACTTTGCAACCCCCCCCCCCCCCCCCCCCCCCCCCCCCCCCCCACACACACACACACACACACACACACACACACACACACACTTCTAGCTGGGGCCATCTTGAGTAATGATTCATGTAGCATTTGCTTCCTGTAGTCTAGCCTCCTTTAGCTCAGGCAGGCAGGCAGGAAGGTATGCTTAGCTGAGAAAGCCCCTACTGAAGACTCCTGGAATGGATGACATCATTTGCCTAGCCCTGGAAACCAGGAAGTAGCGGAAAAAAAAATCCATTAATAAAAAAAAAAGTTTAAAAACAAGTAAAGACAATATACCTTTCTATCTTTTACTAATACTAGCAGCATAAGGATTCAAAATAGTCAATGTTGAGTGAGAAAGTGAAGTTCCACTTTAGGTTATTTAGATTGTGGTGTGTGTGTGTGCGCGCGTGTTGAGAGGGGGGGAGGGGGGGGGGGGGGGGGGTTGAGGCTCAGGAAGCAAAAGGATTAAATTCCTTTCCAGCTTAGAGAGCTCTTTTGATCTTGACCATGATAACATAGCAAAGAATGTCAGACCCTAGATATCTTGAGGTTTAAATAAGATGTTCTGTCAGCATACTCCAAGAAAGTAATAGTAATGGGCACCTAATCTGGAATACCAAATACTAACTTCATGGATTTGAACTAGTGATAAATATGAGGGTTTAATGACTCTTTCCATGTCACAAATTGGCAGTTTTGCTAATTTAGATATTGCGAATGAATACACCATGTTAATTTTAATGTAAGTATCTGTGAGCACTGTCTGAATGAAGATCTAATATTTACCTTGAACAAGTAGGTGCTACGCCCAGAGATAATCCCCAAGGAGGAATGTCGGTGTTCTGGCTCTGTGTGTCTTCCCAGCACCAATACAACTGAATGATGAGGATTGGTATAGCCAGCACCAGGGGCGGACTGACAACTCATGGGGCCCCCGGCCATAGGGGATCATGGGGCCTCTGTGTCCTTGCCCAAACTCAAAAAAGCCTATGAAAAAGGTACCAGGGGCATCTCATGGGGCCCCCTACTGACCCCAGGCCCTCGGGTAGTGCCCGAGCTTCCAAATAGTCAGTCCGCCCCTGGCCAACACTCGTCTTCCTGAATAATAAACTTTTTGAAGCGAGTAAAATGTGCATATAAAATGGCTTTCGTATTTCATAGCCATGATTAAGGCTTATTGCCAAATCGTGTAAGCCATTTTAAATGCAAATTTTACTCAAAAGTTATTATTCTGAAAGACGAGTGTTGGCTATACCAATCTTAATATTTACCTGTCAAAATATGTTAAAACGGCAGTAATTTCCATGGGTATACAAATTCTTTTTTACATGACTTATGACCAGTTATGAACATCTCTACGGAGTCTGGTATATACGAAATTGACCAATAGAACAACACAGATGCAGGGGATCACTATGAAAAGCACTGTAACCGTTTGGCTTTGGTACCCAATTGTTTACAAGGAGGCTTTGTGAGGGATGGATGATTTTAAAAGGAAACCTGTCTGGAAAGAAGCACAGGCTGTCATTTCTGGTCTCCTTGTGAAAAAACAGATTTGCTGGCTGTAAAACTAACCCTCTGCCTTCAATAATTATTACAAGGACTAAAGCAATGCCTGTACTTAAATCCAGATAGCCTACAAAATACACAACGAGGTGCTGCTAAGGACAGCTCCGGAGAATGAGCGACTACAGCAGTCAGCCGGAGGCTGTAAGAATGGGTGAAGAGGTTCTAAACCAGGGTTATGCAACTTGCGGCCTATGGGCCACATGCGGCCCAAGATAGCTATGAATTGCAGCCCAATACAAAATTGTAAACTTACCTAAAAATGTGGATTTCTTGTGGGGGGGGGGGGGGGGGGGGGGGGATTTTTGTAAAAATGTGTTTACACTTAGCAAACAGACGCAGCCAAAGAAAAGTTTGACAGAGTCTCTTTACTGGACGTTTATAAGTTTTATCTTCCCAAAAGCTAATATTCCACTCTTCACAATCATGTCTTACTCATGTCATCAGTTTTCAGCAGCACTTTATTTATGAGCAACTATTTTCAAGGATGAAGCACACAGAGGGCAAAATTTGAACCAAAATTTCTGATGAGCACCTTGAGAATTCATTCAGAATTGCTACTACATCTATCGAACCAGATACTGATGCGTTAGTTTATTAACTAGTTGCCGACCGCAGATAGCTGAATGACGGCTGCACTGCGGCCGGCCAGTTCTGGGTGGACGTCATATGACGTCCTCCCAGAACGCGCTCTCCTGCGCGCCCCAGGGGCGCCCCACCCGGTGAGATGTAGTAAAAGGCCAATCATACTGGCCTTTTACCACGTGATCAGCCGTATCCAATGACACGCTGATCAGAGGGAAATGCAAGTGCCGGTTCTCGGCTGCACTTTCCTCACGCTGTCAGATCGTGAGGAAAGTACTGCCGAGAACCAGCAGTTGTCAGAGCGGGGATCGGCACCGATCATCAGTGCCCTGATGATCGGTGCCCAGCAGTGCCACCCACAAGTTCCGCCCACCTGTGCCCAGCAGTGCGCCCACTAGCTCCGCCCACCTGTGCCCAGCAGATCACCCACCTGTGCCCAGCAGTGCACCCACCTGTGCCCAGCAGTGCACCCACCTGTGCCACTCTGCAGTGTCACACACCTGTGCCCAGAAGTGCCACCAACCTGTGCCCAGCAGTGCCACCCACCTGTGCCCACCCACCTGTGCCCACCAGTGCCACCCACCTGTGCTGCCACCCACCAGTGCTGCCCACCAGTGCACCCACCAGTGCAGCCAGCAGTGCTGCCACCAGTCAGTGCCCAGCGGTTGTGCCAGTCAGTGCCGCCAGTCAGTGCCCAGCAGTGATGCCAGTCAGTGCCGTCTATCAGTACCCATCATCAGTGTCACCTATCAGTGCCGCCTATCAGTGCTGCATATTAGTGCCGCCTATCCGTGACACCTCATTAGTGCTGTCTATCAGTGACGCCTATCCGTGCCACCTCATTAGTACTGCCTATCAGTGCCCTTTAGTGCTGCCTATCAGTGCCCATCAGTGCCGCCTATCAGTGCCCATCAGTGCTGCCTCATCAACGCACATCAGTGAAGGAGAAAAATTACCTGTTTGAAAAATTTTATAATAGAAACAAAGAAACTTTTTTTTTTTTTTCAAATTGTTTGCACTTTTTTAATTTATAGCGCAAAAAGTAAAGCGCCCAGTGGCGATTAAATACCACCAAAAGAAAGCTCTATTTGTGAGAAAAAAATTATCAAAATTTCATATGGGTACAATGTTGCATGACCGCGCAATTGTCAATCAAAGTGCGGCAGTGCTGAAAGCTGAAAATTGGCCTGGTAAGGAAGGGGGTATAAGTGGCTGGTAGGCAAGTGGTTAATAACAACGTCAAATACTGCACTAGTTTTAAGTTGCCCTCTTTTATAAATAAATAAAAAAAAAACAACAAAGTTTTATTACTCAGGTACATTATCTATGTTAGTGATCATTAATTTGTGATCTGCCAGACATTGTCTGCTCATCAGCTATCCTTACGGTTAGTGTATTTTATGTGTGGTCCAAGACAACTCCTATTTTTCCAATGTGGCCCAGAAAGTCAAAAGGTTAGACACCCCTGTTCTAAACAAAAATAAGCATTAATTCTCCCTTTCGCCTGTGGCAAGAACTGTACTGTAGTTATGTCTATGTAAATGAATAAGGTATGACATTTGTACAGAGCACCTATTAACAATATCTTAACATTCAGGGCTTTACCCACTGGGAGAAAGAAAATATTTTCTTGTTGAACCAGAGACTAGATGTATAGATGTCTCAATAAAGTAAGGATTTATAGGATGGCGACTTAACCATGTGATCCGAATTGGTGCAGAATCGGTCACCACCATTTGGTGAACACTGTAAATGACTACTCTGCTCACCATCTGCTCCATGCTTTACTAAGAAAAGCTGGCCACACAAAGATTTTTTCAGTTCAGCCTGAAAAAAAAAATCTAAAAAATTCCTCCATCTATGCTACACAGTGCAAAGCTGTCAAAATATCTACACCGTGCCTGCATCAAACTGAATACAGGTGCTGTTTGGCTGTCAATTTTCCAATATAGGGTTGTTGGAATGGAGGCAGCTGACAGGGCCACTCACTGAGGGAACTTTGTCCAGTTCATCAGGAACTAAAATCTGAGTCTAAGAGCTATAGAGAATACAAAGAACACACATACTGTACTTGCTCTGGGAAAGCAGGTGATATGTGTATAATTTAGTTTATGAACATGCCTCCCACTACAAAGTAAAATGGCTTCAAAATGGGACTTCTAGCTGTATTGTTTCAGCAGTTATGGCAAGTGGCAGTGCTCCCTGGAGTTTCCAGCTCTGAATGCAAAGCATCCATCATATTCTCTAAACAATACAGACCTAATCCAGCGTTTCTTTATAATCCCAAATTAGCCGAATATTCATGTTACATAGGGTACCTGAAAATCAGAGCTGAGAAACACAGCCCTAATCAATCAATACCACATGTCTAGAATTTGATTCATCAGGATATATTGCTTTTAGATTAATTACCATATTTTTGTAATTTTCCAAATAACTGTGGTGTAAGGTATATGAGAGCAGCAAAGGTACAGTTCACAGCTTGATCCACAGCAGAACCAGCCACTATATCATTCTTTGTCGGCTGTTTTTTTAATCGCTTGCACCAGTCCTTTGAGAAGTTCAGAGTTAGGGCCACAGTAATCCTGGGTAGGATCTGAGTTTGCAAAGTCAAGGAGAAAGTTACGACAGTCATCTGCATGAGAGTTCTTAGTCTGCAAATAAAATAATAATGTAAAAAAGCATTTACATAGTATTAGGTTCCAATGTAACACTAATGTTTCAACACTTGTAGTTTTAACAGTTATTACTTTCATATTCTAAACAATGTAATATCTTGTCTATTTAACATAGAAAACACACTATAAGGCTGCAGGGGCAATGGTGTAAGCAATGCATCTGCATTGGACAGCAATGTGTAGTGCATACCGACTGTCAAGTGAGATTATATTGAAAGTAAAGCTGGGCAATTAAATTGAGACTATATGAAAAAATGCAGAAAAGCAGAGGTCATCTTAAAGTAATAAGAAAGTGTGAAAAAATCCTTCTCCCTACAAGTTAATGTCACAATATGCTAGTATGCATTGCATACTAGCACATTATGAAAGTACTTAAAACAAAGCCCTCCAGCGGTGCGCTGTCATCACTGACAGGGCTTTTTATTTTCACCCGGTCTTCCTTCCTTCTGAGTTTGCGGGCTCAGGCTGTTTGAATGGCTGATTTGCAATAACGCAACAATCCTGGCACAGTGCTCTAAAGGGATAAGACTCAGTATGCAGAAACAGTGAATAGTTCCTAAATGGTGCACATTTAGGAGATATTCCTTGTACATAGAGGTATGCTTTATTATAGGTTTAACTGTAAGTACAAGTCCCTAAGCGGTGACTACTACTGCTTTAAGTGAGTAGGAAAAAGAAAAAAAAGAAATAAAAGAAAAAAAAGAAGCTTTACTTCCAGCTCCCAATCTTCTCTGTTGGTCAGTGAGTGAGGGCATCCCATCAAGGAATGGGCTAGAAGAGAGGCTTAGGAGGTAGAAGATTGCAGAACAAGCTGAAATTGGACCTGAGAGGCATATAAATTCAGAAATTCAGCCACCTATATCTCTGGAGTTACTAATTATTTGACATATGGCTTTAACTAAAGGTAACCTCTGTTTATCCAACATTTCATCAAATGCTCAATTTAAAATGCTTAACGTGGAAGTGCAGTTAAAAGCTAACCAAGGCTAAACCTACTCCCACCCCCATTCTATCTAATCCTATAAAGAAAAGATCTGTATACTTACTTATTCTGAAGCCGCTCCGATCCAGTCCCATGATCTCTCCAGCTGTGGCTTCAGTGAAGAGGAGAGATCTCAGACAAAGGCTGCTAATGCCTGGGAGATGTCATCATCCATAGGCTTACTATGGGACATTTGTTGTCAGATATCCCTCCTCTACACTGAAGCTGCTGCTGACAGAAGACCCTGGGTCAGGAATGGAGCAACTTCAGAATAGGCAAGTAAACAGATGTTTCTTTACAGGGTTAGATAGGACAGGCTTAGAATGGGAGTGGGAGTAGGTTTAGCCTTAGCTTTTGACTGAACTTCCACTTTAGGCTTGTGATACATTTTTCTTGAAGTGGAGACTGCACCTCCCCATAAACACAGGGGAACATTAGAAACAAGAAGGAAACCTAACATAAAATATGACACACACATGCACCATTTTTCCCTGTACCTACTGCAGTGATGATCTACACTTTCCAGTTGTTAATCATTTATACTGCTTTCTGAGAAAATATATATGCCTGTAGAAGACAGGTTAGTAAAACAGGCATTATTGGCTTGCTCCTTGCTGACAAAAAGCAAGTAGACAAAACAAAAGTTTTAGTATCAAACTTTTAATCCCACCACACACCAAATAGGAGTTTCTATTTCTATCACACACTCTGGAGATATGATATCAAATACAATTCCTGCAAATATAGAAGAACAAGTGCTAACACTGACTTTGAAGTCTACATTCAAGAACAGTAAATCCGGCCATAGATGATTCAATTTTCTTTCCTGCAAGCCATTCAATTCCCCCATCAACACAGTCAGTGTTGTCAATAATTTCATGAAAAATCCAACAGGTTGGTTGTACCCAAGTCGTACAACAATCGATTTGGGTACAATCATTCTGCCCACAGACAGCTCGAATCTTGGCCGTTCCATACTTAACTGGCTGAGATTCTGACCATCTATGGCTGGCTTAAGATAATGCAACTGTGAAGTTCTTAACAGCGTATTATGTCATTATTCACCTACCAGCTTCTTGTATCTCTTGTGGTCTCTAGAAATTAGCCTTCTCCAAGTTAAGGCGGTAAAAAGGAAAGATTTTATTCTCCTTGTTAATTTTTTTTCTTTTGCATTAGAGTAATATGACTCTAGGGGACTATATGGACAAATCAAATTAAGTACCCAAGAGATAAAAGAAACAGTAGGATAATTAAGCCCACCAATATCAACCTTTTATTTAAATATCAGTTCTGGATGGAATGTCCCTTAACTATAGATTACACAAACACATTGCACAAGAAACATAAATTCTGTCTATAGCAAAATGTAATGTGACCAAGTGATTGCAATTGAAAACGGATTTATAACAAAACAGCTCCATAATTGAAAAAAAAAAAATACAACTGTAAAGTTAATATTTTTCCCAAAATAAAAAAGTATGTTATACTTACCTGCCCTGTGCAATAGTATTGCACAGACCAGCCCCTCAACCTCCTCCTCTGGGGTTCCCTGTCGATGTCCTAGATGCCTCTTCTGCGTGTGCCACCATAGGAAGCGAGAAATATGTCACTAGCACACCAAGGATCTCTAATGCCTAATGAAGTGGTCATGTGAGGATCTGTGATGTATTTAAGATGTGATTGCTGAATAAAGCTTTGGACCCATTCTGGAGATCCTTGGTGTGCTGGTGACATGTTTCTCGCTTTTTCAGGGAGGGAGCCTAAAAGATTTTTTCCCTTATGCATAGAATACATTAAGGTAAAAAAAACTTAGGACTTTAGCACCACCTTAATAGTTTAAATGTTTCCCCATCAGGCTGCAAAATTTACTAATTTTTAGGCCAAGCTGTCTTGAAACAGGCGCTAGTCCTTATTTAACAACTACTTTCAATATGCAACTAAAATAACTCCTCCCCATTTAGGAATTAACCCTATCGGTTTAAAAGTAACCTATGCAGCCAACCAAACAGAAAATGGGAGCTCTACTGCTGCACCATGGATCACACTGGCATGGCAGAACTTGAAAGGTGGGTGAACAAGTAACCTTTTAAGGAGCAACTAAAAGGGAACTTTTTAAGCTAGAGGGTAGCTGCCCCTACTTGCAGATCAGACAATCCTTAAAAAAATACTAGAACTAATTTATAGTCAGCAATAAGAAAATACTTGATACCTCTGTACATCCACTTTTTGTTATTGAGCCCAAACTCTGTGTACATCTGGTGTCTGAACACAGGTTTCCACAATGGAGAGCTTACAACGGATGAGACCTTTGCAGATGGTATTTCAGCGATAGGTCCCAGTTCTAGGGTAAACAGAGATGAGGTTACCAACATATGCAAGAGCAAATAAACGAAATATATAAGCCCCAGTTCACAAATGCCTGACCCAAGCATTAGATTCAGTTCTACGTGTTACACATTATTCAGATTTTGGTTTCATTTAACAAAATGTTGTATTGCAAAGATCTGCTAAAACTACTGCAAGTATATATATAATCAAGGTTGCAGCATTTTGAACTTACGGGACATATCACAAACATTATTGCACATATCTGCTACTAAAAAAAAAAAAAAAAAAAATCGCTAGGTTAAGGCCGACATGAAAAGTGAAATTCTATAAGTTTTTTAATAACGCAAGTAGAAGAAAGAACTATGCAAGGCGGTGATAACATAATGACTCCTGAAATATAACACGATCATGGGCTTGAATAGCTAAACGTTCATATCAAGCAGAAAAGTAATTTCACACCAGTACGATATTCTTTATTATAACTGAAAATCTTGATGCAAAAAATGTTTGATAAAATAATGAAAAAGTACAAATTCTAACCCCACACCCAAAAAAAAAAAAACTGCAATCTTCACATTCCTTTTTAATATATGTATACATTTTAATATGTATATTTATTTTTATTAATGACATATATAATCTACATAATATTATACTTGGACGACGAAAAAATATTTGTTTAAGTGCATAGAGTACAATTAGGAGGCGGTGTCCCCTTTAACAGAACTCTCTCTCCTCTCCCTCCGCCCCCTGATGGTAGATGGGTTGTTGGATCAATTCATGTAATTTAGGAATTTGAATTCTAGGAGACATCAGCCTTTGCTCAGAGAAAGGGAATAGGGTCCCCAAATCGTGTCAGAGATTATCACCATCTTGTCTCCATCTGGAGGTGGAGAGCAGTCTACAATGTGTGCTTATGCAGTTATATGCTTTTAGCTCACTTGCCTTTTGAGTACAATATTTGTCTTATTTTCTGCAATAAACGGTTTTTATTTTTTTTTTACTCACCAATTCAGGACGCACATTCAGGGACTTGACTCCGCATCAGGGAATCACTGCCCTGGACCTGTAAAGCACCCTGCCAAAAAGTTCTGCTTATACACTGTACCCTGGAGATCACTGCCTGCAGTATCCAGCACCGACCCCCAGCATTAAAAGCCATCCTTGCTCATGCATGCGGGGCCTGGGTGCAATTTCCTTTTGACTTGCTGGTCATTGCAACTAATCGAGACAAAACCCTCCTGTGCCCTATAAGTCATGTTAGGAATAGGCCAAGTGCTGGGAGAAATAAAGCCCACAAAATAAGTATTCAGAGAGACATCTGTAGGCATATCCATCACTTAAGGAAACTTTGTAACGCTGGGAGGGGTTATGCCTGGGCTGTGATTCCAGTGCGGGGTTTTTTGACCAAAAAACTAATTTTATAGGCAAATCAAAAATCTTTCTAGATCGTGCTGTACAGGACAAAGACACATTCTTAGACAACTGGGATGTCCAAAAGCAAAGCAAAAAAGAGGGGTGGGCAACACAGCAAACAAACTGCCAACAAACCTACAAACAAAACAAACAATGGTATAAGACTAACTAAACAGCAGCTTATACAACTTTATGGCCCAAGCCAGCATCAGCAGAGGCTTGAACATCCTCATGGTAAAACCTAGCACACATGTGAACAGAGGACCATGTGGCGGCTTAGAAACCTACAAAAGAGGTGCTCGATGCTGAAAGGTCTAGGAAACTCCCACAGAACTGGCAGAGTGGACCTTAGCACCAAAAAGAAAAGGTTTGAACAATAACCCGATTAATCCACCTAGCGATGGTAGAACAATAAGCAGAACATCCCCTGTGGGAGTCTGTGGATAGACCAAATGTCAGGGCCACAAGCTGAAAATGATAGTCGCAGCACAAAATATAAAAATGCTGTTGTGGGGAAAAATGGGAATTTGCAAACGGGCAGCTTAGAACAGGTTGGAGTGAAAACCCTAAAACCTTTCCCTTGCAGCCACAGGAACAATTACCTGCAAGGTGAGCAACTGCTGAAGAGCAGCATGCAGAGCCTCCAAGCCCCTGGAGAAGGTGGCAAATTTGAGTGCAGGAATTAGGGTGGAGGGAGAGAGAAACTCCAGCTGGTATCCCTAGAAACAACATTCCTGACACAGAGTTCTGTAAAGTCTTGAATCCAGGCGTTCAAGAAAGCCAACAGATATCCCCCCCACATGATAAAATGGGGTGTCCCATCACAGAGGGGAGCGTGGGGAGTCGAGCTTAACCTGCTTGAAAGTCCAGAGCTTGTGGTGAAAGGAGGTGCTGGGCTTAGACTTGGAGAAAGAAGTCTGGCAGGGGTAAAAGGAACTCTTTCTAAACCCGGAAGAAAAAAATATGTTCACAGGAGCCCTAGCTTTCTTTTTGCAAGGCAAAGGCATGCTCTATACAAAAAGAAAAAATGCCATCAATAAGAGTGTGACCACCCATCAAAAGGATCTCTCTGACTCACCCTATTTTGGGGTGTGGATTCTTAATCGAATAAAGCTTATAGGAAAAAAGGTTAGCAGCTGGCTAGAGCAAACTGCAAAAAAGAACAGTATTTTGAAATCCAATGCAGAGTAAACCATAAACATGGATGCAAACAATTACTTTATTTTGATCATAAAGATCTTTTGAAAGGATGGGCATTAGACATAGTGAACACACAGTCAATCACAAAAATAAAAACAGTGAATATGAAAACAAAAACCATCCTGCGCATTCACTTAGCTGCATTAATTAAATGGCTGGGAAACCGTTTGGATGAAAAGTAATCTTCATATATGGGAGATAATAATGATGTATGGAGAGTCAAAGTCAGCCAATGATGGAGTCTGAAAGGGAGGCCTCTCCATTGTGGGACATTTGCCAATCAGTATCTGCCTTGTTTATCTTGGCACAAGATTTGCAGAGAAACTTTGAGCATCTGGAGAGTCAACTGCTAACCGAGTCTAATGACCCCACAGACACGGACCTCACTGCAGCCTTAGATGCAACCACTCAAACAGAGCCCAGTTTGATCTTTGGAACCCCTTCCCTACCAGAACCCCGGGTGCCTACGCCTGAGTTTTTTTACAGGAGACCGCAGGAAGTTCAGAACTTTTCGTAACTACTGGGAGCTATATTTTTTGCTGCTTCCAAGGACCTTTACATCACCAAGCACCAAAGTGGGATTTATCGTCACACTTCTTAGGAATGAACTGCAATCCTGGGCATACCACCTTTGTGAACAACATGATCCAGCTCTAACTTCAGTGGACTCTATTTTCACAGCAATGGCACAAATCTATGCTGTCCTTTCCTGTGTCAAACCGCAGAATCTATGCTTAGCAAGCTACAGCAAGGCCAAAGGCCTGTGGAAGAATGTGTTACTGATTTCCGCATCTGGAGTTCCGATACTCAGTGGAACGAGTCTGCTCTCCGCTACCAGTTCCGTCTTGGTCTTTCTGACACCCTGAAGGATGAGCTTGCCCGAGTGGGGGTACCAACCAGGTTGGAGAACCTGATAGATCTGACGATCCACACTGACCATCGGATTCGGGAAAGACAGAATGAGAGTCTGGAAAAAGGGTTTATTCAGCCTTCTACATCACCAGCAGGAGCTGGCATCTTCTTTGTTGAGAAGAAGGATCACACCCTTAGACCTTGTGTGGACTACCGTGACCTAAACAAGATAACGGTCAAGAATCGTTATCCCCTTCCTCTAATTCCTGAGTTATTCCAAAGGCATGTTTCTTCTCAAAATTGGATCTGAGGGTCGCTTACAATCTAGTGAGAATTTGTGAAGGTGACGAATGGAAGACGGCCTATTTAAGGAGTGCCTATTTAAGAAGTATTTACCTAAAGATATATCAATATTGGAAAACAACAGGAACTTGAAACTGTGAAGATTGAATCATTCAGAATACTATGAAAGTTGACTCTCCATCCATCATTATTATCTCTCATATATGAAGATTACTTCTCATCCAAACAACGGTTTCCCAGCCATTTAATTAATGCAGCTAAGTGAATGCACAGGATGTTTTTTTGTTTTTATATTCAGTGTTTTTATTTTTGTGATTGACTGTGTTCACCATGTCTAATGCCCATCCTTTCAAAAGATCTTTATGATCAAAATAAAGTAATTATTTGCATCTACTATTGATGTTTATGGTTTACTCTGCATTGGATTTCAAAATACAGTTGTTTTTTGCAGTTTACTCTAATCAGCTGCTAACCTTTTTTCCTAAAGGCGTGCTCTACCAGTGAGTACCTTAATAAAGAGTCTACAAGTTTACCAAAGAGACCACCAGAAGGCATTTTACAGGCTGGCTCAGCAGAACAATATTTAAGCAAAAAGAAAAAAAATCCAGTGCATCTGAACAAACAGAAGGCCAGGACTGGACATCAGTTGGAAAGAATCCTCAAGCCAATCCACACAAACCAAAATTCCTTCAGAAGAAGTTTCAACCATTCCTGAAGTACAGATATATAGATGGCACGTCCCTGCCACATAGCCTGGGCTTCCTGTGCCCACTGGTACAGCCGATACCAGCATGGCAGGTGCTGCTGGGTAGAGAGGAAGGAGCTGAGCAAATATCTGTCTGCTCTCCTCCTCTTCTTGCTGGCCCCCTTTTCACTTTCCCCAACCTGTATGGCTATAGCAGAAGCTTATGGAATGCAATCTGAATCCCTTCAGCTTCAGTGGGGGGGTAGGTAAGACATCAAGGGTCTTTTATTTACCCAGTGTCCTATTAAAGATAATCTGTCACCAAAAAATCATCACAAAAGGGACTTTTTTTATCTCCAATATGATGAAAAAAGAAAGCTGCATAAAGAAAGGAAATAAGGCCCAGGGTGCCCGGACGCTGTTGGCAAAGCAATTCAAAGGCAGATTTCTGGTACGGGAAAGCAGAAGTGCCCCGCAATGAGATCTGCTAATGCCGCAATTGAAGGTAACGAAAAAAATTCAGCCGGAGGGATATCCTGTGACTCCCGAAGAAAATTCCAGGTAGAGAAGGACCGGGAAGTCAAAAAGTGTTGTACCTGTGACAAACCATTGACCACCCACCAAGAAAACGAAGACGCCCTTGGTTGATCTAAACCCAGTGGAAAGAGAGGGTTGTTAGTAATTGGGAGCAAAGGCAAGAAAGGTGACATCATGCCACTGGAGTAACGTACCGAGTCCCACACTTGTAAGCCATGGAGCAAAAATCGGACTCAGCACCTGCAGGGGCTTTTAAAGCATCGCCTATGATAAATATAGGGTACTGAAGTTTGTCACCATTTCATAGGTGCATGCAATTTTGGGTAAGTTATTGCTTTTGTGTGCCCTAAGACTTATTCTAGTGTGTTCCTTACTGAAAATCTGAGTTTCTCAAACTGCTGCTGGATCTACCACTACATTATTGCCTAGTGCATCTGCATTCAGAAAATATATGTCTGGGGGTTTTATGTAATCTTCAGGACTAAAATAATTTTTTTAAAAGTGTGCAAAAAAAAAGGAGAGAAAAAAAAAAAAAGATGACTAGCATTGGGAGGAAACTAATCTCAATGAAAGTGGAAGGGAAGCGGTTAAATCTTAAAACTGTGTAAGGGGTTCTTTACTGTTAGGGCAGTAAGGATGTGGAACTCCTAGATTGTAAGCTCGAAAGAGCAGGGCCCTCAATCCCCTCATGTTTTGCATTGTATTGGCATTGTTCTGTCACATGTTCTGTCCCCCTTTGTAATGTACAGCGCTGAGCGAACTATTGGCGCTTTATAAATACTGTATAATAATAATAATAACTCTATTCTACAGGTGGTCGCATCAGCAGAGAGTGAAGATAAATTCTGTTCTGCAGAAGACAAAGGAAGGGAAATGAAGGAAGCCTCTTGTGGTTTCCAGAGGTTAGGGGCTTCCAACACGGTGATGCATTTTCCCATAAAATCTGGCAGAGAGGTGGAAAATTCCTCCCTGTTCAAATAGTAGGAATAGGAAGCATCTAATGGTAAGGCAGAAGGACAAATGCCTCCACTGTCCAAAGAAGGATCATTAGAGAAAGAAAACCACTCTTCATGGACCCACTAAGAGAAGGTTTGCCTGAATGCCCCTTACATCCATCCATCATCCATTTACTAACCTCTACTTTTTTATAGAATAAGTTCCCCCCGGTATTCACAGTAGTGCAGCAAACAGAGAGTTTAAAACTGCCCTGAAGGAGTTTTGTAGTAATGAGCCCTCCTGAGGGAAAAAAAAAAAACAAGCTGCAAAAACACAGTGATCACAGCAGTATTTAAATCATCTTGAAATGGTGCCTCCATTGGTAGAACTGAGGTGCTGTCAAAGAGCTGCCCAGAGAAAACGAGCAGTGCAAGCTTGGCTGACAGCCAGCACAGGCAGAATAAAAAAAAAACAGCTTTGTCGTGAGGAAAGTCAGTGACCGTCAGGAGTATCCTCTGTTATAAAAAAGAGGCACTTTCTGGGATTTCTGGGATCCCTGATATAGGCTGGAAGGGAATGGGAAACAAAAGGGCAGGTTTTATGCATCATTACTCACCAACCTGGAAAAAAAAAACACGGCCACAAAATAAAAGGGGGAATGTGGCACCCCAGCTTTACTCTTTGGAAGTTATACCCTCGAAGGGGTGTTCAGGGATTGGGTCACACCTGTGTAGCTCGCCACTGTCTTGTACCTGTATAGCAGTCTGCAGCTAACTCCACGCCCTGCAAAACATTCCGGGGAGGAGTGCCTAACACAGGATCCAGTGCCAGAAGCGACTTTACAGGCCAGGCCCACATACTTCATTTGGCAGAGTCCGGATACAATCCAAGTGGAGTGCCTAGGATACTGATCCAGAAGCTGTGTAAGTCACCAGAAGTACTGGTACGTAGTCAATTAGAAAATATAAAAAGAAAAAAAAAATCAGTAGATGAAAAGGAAAATAAAACATGGACAATTTAAGGGGGAACGCAGCATCCCCGCTTCACTCGCTATGGAAGAGTATACCCTTGAAGGGGTCTTCAGGGATTGGGTCACACCTGTGCGGCCCCCCACTGTTCTGCACCTGTATAGTACTCTGCAGCTAATGCAGGCCATAGACGGTTCGTTTATTGGCCGATTTTTCCTCCTCATTTCTTTTATCGGTCATGCTAGAAAATTTATGAAAAACTGACAATTTTCATAATCATTGATGGCAACAGAACGACTGATTTTTCGCTTTTCGGACGAAAAATCGGCCGATAAACGAACCGTCTATGGCCTGTATAATTCCACATCCTGCACAAGGTGCCGAGGATGCCTAACACAGGATCCAGTGCCCAAGGCGACTTTACAGGCTGGGCCCACATACTTCATTTTGGCAGAGTCCGGATACAATCCAAGTGGAGTGCCTAGGATACCGATCCAGAAGCTGCGTAAGTGACCAGAAGTACTGGTACGTCATCAAGTTGGAGTGGAAAAAAAAAAAAAAAAATATATATATATATATAAAAAATATATCAGAAGAGGAAAAAAAAAAAAAAAAAAAAACGATTTATCACCCAAGGACACTAGCAAAAAGCTGGGGATAACAGTTAGCTGGAGGAGTTATATATGGGGGCACTACAGTTTTGTTAGTCAGTGTCCAATAACGTGAAGATAGCAACATATGATAGAGTCGTCTAAGAACCTGCCTGTGGTCTGTATTGTATGATCAAGAAATGCTAATTGACCAGCTGTCTTTGGCTTAACTACTTTGAGTTCCTCACCTGTAATAAGCATGCTGTAAAATGACTGTCAGAAAAGAATCAGTATTCTCTATCTCTATCCTTATTCTTGGTCATTGACTCAAAGTCTTAATGCTAGAGCATCAGCATGACAGTTGGAAACCTAGCATACTCCAATAGATCAGCAATGGAAGCCTCCATAACTTTCACTTAACACTTGTAATATCAGCATACAATGGAGAGCAATCAGAGTGATGTAGACTCCTAACAGAATCTCAGTGCTTCTCTTGCAGTGTGCATACATAAAAAAAATTAAAAAATCTCACCACATGTGGATTTCATGGCCATAGATCTTGATGCTAGACGACCCAGTAAACGTGCAACAAGTAGCTGCAAATGAAGTTGTGGCCCAGCCTTAAAGGTTACTTTCTGCAGAAAAAAAAGAGTGAATGTACAAAATATTACTAAAACTAAAAGGAAGTCTTTGCAAAAATGAAAAGCAATGACTAACGTTAACTAAATAATACAGGATCAAGTTGCCTGGATGAACTGGAGTACATGGCCTGGTAACTTCAAGCTCAAGTTGTCCTTGGTCAACATCATCCCTATAGATGCTGACTAATGCAGTTAGAACTGGCATTAAAGTGGTTTGAATGGCTCAAGGATTTTTACCTTCATGCATTCTATGCATGAAGGCAAAAAACCTTCTCTGTGCAGCATCCCCCCCCAGCCCCCCTAATACTCACCTAAGCACCCTCTCGATTTAGCGATGTGCACTGGAGTCCTGGCTATCCCGAACCACCTTTCCTCATTGGCTGAGAAGCAGGAGCCATTGGCTCCCACTGCTATCAAAGTCAATGAGCCAATGAGAAGAAAGGGAACGGAGATGAGCCATGGCTCCGTGTGTGAATGGACACATGGAGCAGCGGGTGCCCCCATAGCAAGCTGCTTGCTGTGGGGGCACCCAACAGGAGGATGGGGCCAGAAGCGCCAGTGGGGGACCCAAGAAGAGGAGGATCTGGGCTGCTCTATGCAAACCACTGTACAAAGCAGGTAAGTATAGACATGTTAAGAAAAAAAAAGCCTTTAGAACAACTTTCAAGCAGAGTTCCCGTGAAACTATAATAATATAAAAGTCAGTAGCTACAAAGGACCAGGCGATCGCAGCGGGAATCTGTCAATTTCGGGTACCCGCTCCCCCCCACTCCTCAAATGTGCCAATCCTTAACGGGGAGTGAGGAACCAGTCCTTAAAGAAGAACTTCCCCTTTTGGGTGGAGCTCCGCTTTAAGCATGTATCTGCAAAGGTCACAAAGGGCTCTCCTTCATGAGACACACCCCTTCCTCATGCACAAGCTCCTTAGTCTTGGCCTAGTGTCTCCAGAAAGTAGGCACAGTGGAATGCATTTATTTTTTTTTTACTTTCCTGTTCAATGAAGACAGAAAAAAAAAAGGTTCCCCCCCAACCTTGTTGATTCTCAGAGCTTAGCAGCCCCTTTGCTTTTTGCATATTTACTTGCTTTTATTAGCCCTCACTCAGCAACAGACCAGACCTTGAGATCTAGAGATTTGTTAATGCCCTGTACACACGATAAGAAAATCGTATGAAATTCCATACGAAGAGCGATTGTCTGGAAATCTGATTGTTAGTACACAGCTTTCGGGGGCCATTATGACAGTTCATGCGACAATATCATAAGTGACAAAACGCAAACATTTTTCTTGTATGATACCAGAATGAAAAACTTTCATTTAATGAGAACAGTTGTAGTCAAAAAAAAAACATTGGAAGACCAAGACTACGCATGCTAAGAACCAAAAGAATACATTACAATACACTACTTCACTTCCAAAGTTGTATTCTGTCATACCATAATTTTCGTAACTTAGTAAACTCTTCATTTTAGATATTAGACTAGCATTGAAAAAAAAAAAAAACGGATGATCATTCATCCAATATTCTCATCGTGTCTACGGGGCATAAGAGTACCCCCTACCCTGGGGCCACACCCACCCAGATAAATACTTGCTTTGCTTTCCTTTCCACTGAACAGGTTGTAGCTATCCCTGCTGTGACATCTTGCAGCAACAGGTTGTCGATTACTACATTTTAGACCCCTACGACAGGACTTTCAGAGCCCTCATGCTCCTGGGACACTTCTTTTATTTTTACCCATATTGTCAACTGAGTCAAACTGGATCATATTAAGGCTCCATGCACACTAGTGTTTTTTTAAACTCCTAGAAGCTATTATGAACATTTTTTGTTTTCTGCTCCTAGAAGCTAATAGTGTTATCCTACTGTATGTACCCATGCACACTATCTTATGCTAGAAGCATTTTTAAAGCTTCAGAGTTTAGGAGCAGATTAAAAAAAAAAAGATTTTGGGACCATTTTCCCGGCTGAAAAAAACATGGAACACTCCTAAAAGCATTTAAAAGCAAAAAAAAAACCACTCCTAACTGCTTTTTTCAAGCGTTTTTTTTTTTTATTCATGTACTGTAAAAAGCACTAATAAAACGACAGTGCTCCTAAACACTACTGAAACGCTACTACAAGCCGGCACTATTATCAGTGGTTTTCATTTTTTGCGATTATTAGCGTTTTTTGAGCTTATAAAAAATGCTAGTGTGCATGGAGCATTAGTGACTGATACTCTAGTCTAGGATGTTCTATTTGCCATACCATGGCAACAGTGTTACTTTAGGACAGTTCTTACCCCTATCCTTCATTTCAAGCAAGCAAGCAATGGCTGCACAATGGAGATCCATTTATATATCTACTACATCTCTCCTTACTAGAGATAATCCTGAAATCTATATCCTCCTTCTCAAATGAAAGCTCTTTTATCATCTCTGATGCAGCCACACTTGTGGAATTTCTTCTTTTGACCATTTATTCTTTCATCTTTTAGTTCATCATGTGGAACACCACAGGAAGTTTGTTTTCTCATCTTCTTCTGTGACTAGATCATTTGTAAACTTCGGTCACACAACACATCATTGCCAAGGTGCTAGATATTTTACTGCCAATTTAAATGTTTTCGTCAACAATTAGCTAGGCTAATGTAAAGTACAAGGAGCGTGATTTTCACTTGCTTCATTTGGTAAATTTGTTAGCCAAGTATTTTCACATTTTGTATCTCTCTCTATCTCTCTACTTGGGATATAATTCAATCAAGAGAAATCTTGTTGTGATAGTTCTTACCTCTTGCTTCCAATGATTGTACAGGCTCCTCCTCAAGTCACAGCAACCCTGAATTCAGTCAATCCTTGGATGATTGTTGAGATACTTTACTTTCTGGGGAAATTTTCACACCATTTCTGGGGTTTGCTCACAGCTGTATCTATCTTTCACGGACAGATATAAATAGAGGTTTTTTGCTCTCATCTTTTTTTAAGGTGTTTTTTTGTTCTAATATGGTCCTTGAGGTTTGTACAAACCTACTCCTTTTTTGCAGGTTATCTTTTTGTGGCACAGAGCAAACGAAGTAACACTTCTGTTCTTAGTCATCATCCCCTAAATGTTTGTCTCTAAGGCAAGAAACCATAACTGTGTGGATAAGGTAATCCCTGCTAGTTTGCTTGTGTTTTGCCAGCTCCATTTTGTATTCTTCTGACCCCTTCTTTCAGGTTCAGCTTGTCTATCCTTAAGCACTCATGACCCAAACCACGTTTTGCAGGTGGCCACAGATTTTTGGGGACTTTTTTTCTGTACTCAACATAAATTTTTCTCTACTCTTCAATTGTTCCTCTTTGGTTTTCTACTTTCACTGTCGTGCTACCAAACATAGTTGTGCATGGTGAAGCACTATAGGTCAGCAAAGAGAAGCAATTTCCTTTCTTTGTGTCAAACCTCTTCCAGGCAAGGCTTATACCCTCTGTTCTGTTTAGTATCCCAAATAACTCATCGCCAATGGATTTTAGAGTGGTTTTCCCCATCTGACACTTAAAAGTATACTTGCTAAGAACAAGGTAAGGTACATGCCTACTATGTTACATGTACTTAAAATGTCAAGCTTTGAATCGTGGGCTGCACTAACGTTTACAGATCAGTCACTAACAGTTGTACAGTTTACTGATAAAAGAAGGAGGAAGCCATAATCAGATAAAGTGCTTTAAGTGTGATGGCTAACAAACAACCACAGCACATTTACTCAAAGATCTATCAATGTAGCATATATTAATCTGCTCATGTTCTCAAACAGGCCAGACACAGCATGTCCCTTAGCAGTAACTTCAGTATATTTTAAACTGATATCTTCATCGATCATAATACTTTTTCACAGAACTCACCTTTGGCCACTTTTCTGTACCAACTTTGTGGTCATACCGTGCTTTACCACCTCTGGCATCTGTAAACTCCAAATAGTCATACCTGAGTAAGAATATGTAACTTGAATTATTACAAAGATAATAAAACAATGTCTCAATAAAATACTACAGTGGATTACTACCTTTTTTCTGTTTCACATTTGTCATCAAATTCCACCTCAAAGTATGTTACACCTGGGCAAAGGAAAACCGTTGTGTCCCTACAGTTATTTTCATAATTGTGTGGCGATTCCATATTCCAGGTCTGCAGAACAACGGGCTGTTGCACCTGGTTCCAACTTTCCATTTCTACCTATTGAAAAAAAAGAAAAACATATTTGCATTACAGGGTATGATGCAGATATCCTTTCAAATGTACATGTAGTGTTTTCAAAGCTTTAGGCTCCATGCACACTAGCATTTTTTTCTGCTCCTAGAAGCTAATTGTGTTATCCTATGTGTCCATGCACACTATTTTAGGCTAGATGTGTTTTTCAAGCTTCAGCTTTTAGGAGCAGAAAAAAAACACCTTTCTTTTGTGTTCTTTGGAGCAATATACCAGCAAAAAAAAAAAAAAAAAACGCAAACAGTTCCTAGAAACTCCTAAACACTGTTAACAGCTGCTAAACACCAGTTTCCAGTGTTGCCTTTTTCTTAGCCAGCGCCGCTGGTGACAACAACCAGCGTATAGCTAGTTGTTAAGAAGCCGGCCGGCAAGTTGGCCACCGAACGTTTAACAACAGATGCCTCATCAGCTGTCAGTGGGGTTCCCCATTGATAGCTACATGTAAGTTGAACAACCTAAGAGTCTGGTATGGATTGGGGGGGGGGGGGGGGGGGGGGGGGGGGGCCTGCACTGTTCTATTTATTTTTTGTGTGGAATTCCCTTTAAAATCCATACCAGAGCTGAAAGGGCCTGATATGGGTTGGGAAGGGGGGCACCCACACTTTTCTTTTTTTTTCCTCAATTTTTTATTGCAATTGTTTGCTTTACTTGCAGCTGTCAGTGGGGAGCACTGCTGACAGCCAAGTCCTTTGTGGTTAAGGACACTGCAGCTGGCTTTCCGGCCCTCTCCTAACAACCAGCTATTCACTGGTTGTTAATGACGCCGGCGGTCACCCATTCATTAACAAAAGCGCTACCGCTTTATAGTGTGGGAATTTTTTACTAATATCATTAATATTTAATTATGAAATCATGCCATCTCCGTAGTTTGAAGTTTCCATTTGAATACTGTTACACTAAAAGAGTAATGATCATAAATTAAATATCACCAGACTCTCCTAGGTATTCTATATATTTTAAATAGAATCACCTGGTCCAACTTGTTATAGTAAAATATTAATTTGTCCTATAACAGAATATTTTTTAAGATCCATTTCCACTGGAAAACTAAAATAGTCACTGCTGGTCCTAGGGTGCCATATGGCAACCAATTGAGTTAATATATAAGCAAACACAGGGTTGATAATTAGACTGACCCACCAATCATAGAGAAGGTTACACCTTCTGAGCCAGGTTTATTACCATTTTATAAATGTTTTGTCTGTCACTCAATAAGAAAGCAAATCAGGTGACAGAAAGTCTTCACTGCCTCATTTAGATCTGACACCTCACTGAAGCCAGAGCACCCAGCTCCAGCCTACCTAGAAGCCATTTTGGGGGAAGATCAACTCTACCCATTAGTCTACAGCCATTTTAGGAGAGTCTGTCCAAATAGCCATTTAAAAAGGGTAACTATATCTTTCGCTTTTATAACTGATTTTTCTGTATGCACGTATTTTATGCTAGTTGATTTGCTACCACATTAGTTCTCCTAATAGCACAAAAATTTGGTAATTTTAATTTGCCTTAATTGGCATGACTTCAGATGAACTTCAGCCGGTAATTTTACTGCAGCGGATTCACGGGTCAAGTTAATCAAACACAGATTACTACCTGCCAAATTTTATCCAATCAGTTAGGATAGCTACAGAAGGGGACAATCATTACTGAATTCAATGTCATAGGTATATACTTTACAGTAATAATTAATTTTTGATCCTCATTGTAAAATAGAGTGTCTGTGTCCACCTATTAATCAAACTGTTAGTGGTGTTTGTAAGTGACTTATTGTAAATAAATATAAGGTTTTTTTTTTTAATACTGTGCAGTCAATACTTACACCAATCTCGAATGGGTATTTAAAGAATTCTGCTTGGCAAAATAACTCAAAATAAGTCAGCTCATTTTTATAAATTATTTTCATATTGGAGACACTGTTGTTCGTTCGATTTAGCTGACTGAATTAATAATTCAGGAATTCCCTGACATAGAGCACAAAAAATGTGTGAACAGAAGCCCAGGTGGCAGCCTTGCAATTCTGAGAAGCCACTGCCTGGTGTTGCAAAATCCATGATGCACTGACATGGGTGGAAGCCAATCCTTTGAACGATAAACTCAAATGGAAACTTGTATGATCCACCTAGCAATGGGGGAGCACAAAGAAGGGAGACCCCTGCGGGAACCCATAGGAAAGTACACAAAAAGGCAGAAGCTCAGAAGTACGTTTTCATAGAGTGTACCATGGTAAGATGGGAGAAAGAAACTTCTTTTAGATGTTTCAGGGCAGGACATAAAGGAAGGATAATATCCTGGTTGGGGTGGAAAGAAGAGACCACCTTTGGGAGAAAGAAATCTTTGGGCCTCAAGACAACGACAACCTAGTTTTTATGAAACACTTTTTCTTTTAGATTAACTAGGCTTGTAAGTATCTTCGAGCACGAGGAGATCTACGAGAATATGGCGCTTATGGTTCCCGCGCATGCGCAGTTTTAAGGAGATCGTCGACCACATTTCCACACTTTTATATCCCTTATGTCATTGGCTTTAATGTAGGAGCAAGCACACATCACATTGCCTTGTAACTACTTATTGTTACTCTTTTATTACGTTATTGTGGGCTGTTGGTTTTTCTCTGTTCATTTCATGCAACGATCCACGGGAAAATGGCACCCATGTTTCCACGTATGCGCACCTCGTGCTGATAACCGGCAAGATGGCGCCTGCTTAATTGGCATGAGCGCCCTTGCTATAAATAGAACCACATTGACGTCCAGCTGCTATGGCGCATACCCCTTTTGAGACTGTATGTGTTATGAAACGCGTTAAGGAGGAACCCCTGCACGCCGTGACGTCATGCCGCCGGCCATCTTTAATATCCAGCTGGTCAGTGCACAGAGCAGCTTTATGCTGCATATACCTAATTCACATAGATTCAACTTTGCCCATGGGAATTTATATACATTTTTACCTAAGTGTGTTCATTTGCTATTTTTAAATTCATTACAATAAATGTATTTTCTCATGAATAATTACTACACTATGGGTACTACTATTTTTTGCTCCACACCGAGCACTTAATCCCACAGGATCCCCAGGTGACCCTCCCAGGGCCCAGAGGAGAGAAAGTTTAAAGCAGACCCCGACTGTAGCCAGCCTTTAAAGGGGACCTCTAGAAGTGCCTTTCCATCATCACTATCCACAGAAGAGGCATCCACTCCAGGCTACATCCTTCCCAGGACAGAGGGAACCTCTGGTGTATTTGATGTAAATGCACATTTATATTGCGCCTCTGGTGAGTGTGCAATTTTACTGGTTTCCCTGCACGTCACCGGATCACATGTGTCACTGGGAATAGAGAAGTCACCTGTTCAACTTATCATTTTCCTGTACCTCCACCACTCTCATCACTTATTGGACATTCAATATTGTTGCAATTTTGTCAGATATAGTGTATGTTTGTTGGGTATTATTATCTCACATTGGATACGGACACCATTTGTCACCATTGTGGTATTTTATTCTATTCTATATTGGACATTTTCTTGTGCACTTTAGCCTCAGGCATTTTGCATTTATAGGTTTTAGAATTTTATAGCGCTGCACTACACATTTTATAAGGATAATATCCTGGTTGGGGTGGAAAGAAGAGACCACCTTTGGGAGAAAGAAAGCTTTGGGCCTCAAGACAACCACAACCTAGTTTTTATGAAACAATAATGAGAGCTCCATACAAGATAAGGTCGCCAACTCAAATCACTCCACACAGAGATAACAGCATCAAGAAATGCAACCCTGGAGGTGAGGTCAGACAAAAGAATATTCCTAATAAGTTCAAGTTCATCTGAGGTGGCAAGAGTACCAGAATAAGCTCTAAAAAAAAACAGGAAAGTTTACAGGGGGAGATATATGTGTGAATTTCTGAACAAATGTTTTAACTAGAAAGTGAGAGGCCAGGGTCTCTGAAACAAAACAGCCAAAGCCAAAATCTATCCTTTGATGGTATGCTGATCTTGACCAGACTGGAGGAAGAACAGAATCTGTCCAACAGAGAACTTTCTAAGATAATAGTTCCCCGTCTCATACCAAGTAAAATTCGGTCTTTTGGGTGCAATAGATAGTACATGAAGTCGATATCCTAGCCTTCAAAAGTTTATGAATGATCTACTGACAGACCCCTGTCTCTCAAGGCTGTGGCTTCAACAGCCATGTCAATAAAGCCAAGAACCAAGAAGCAGGATGGAACAGTGGGCCCTGGGACAGATGATTCACAGGATTCGCAAGGGACCACCGAGAGACTGCCTATGTCGAAGTACATGTCCTCTTGGGCCAATTTAGTGCAATCAGAATCAATAGATTGCCCTTCATCTAGATCCTGCACAGAGGATGAGTAATAACCTGGAGTGGCAAAACAAATTACACAGTGCCTTGAAGGAGTATTCAAAACCCTTGAAATTTTCCACATTTTGTCATGTTACAACCAAAAACGTAAATGTATTTTATTGGGATTTTATGTGATAGACCAACACAAAATGACACATAATTGTGAACTGGAAGGAAAATGATAAATTACTTTCAAAATTTTTTACAAATAAATATCTGAAAAGTGTGGAATGCATTTGTATTCAGCCTCCCTGAGTCAATACTTTGTAGAACCACCTTTTGCAGCAATTTCAGCTGCAAGTCTTTTTGGGGATGTTTCTACCAGCTTTGCACATCTAGAGATGGAAATATTTGCCCATTCTTCTTTGCAAAATAGCTCAAGCTCTGTCAGATTGGATGAAGAGCGTCTGTGAACAGCAATTTTCAAGTCTTGCCACAGATTTTCAATTGCATTTAGGGTGGGGACTTTGACTGGGCCATTCTAACACATGAATATGCTTTGATCTAAACTATTCCATTGTAGCTCTGGCTGTATGTTTGGCTTTGTTGTCCTACTGGAAGGTGAACCTCCGCCCCATTCTCAAGTCTTTTGCAGACTCCAACAGGTT